TATTTTTGTGCAAAAAATAATTTGGCATAAAAAGCACATGTTTTATTGTGAAAATATTAATTTTAAAATAGACCTATTAATACGTCATGACTTCTTTTGGGGACTAATATTGGGATAACGGGTGCCGTCAAGTGAGCACACAAAATGACCTGAAGGAACACACAGACAACTGTCGCTATAAACCGGCACAATGTTTAGTATGCAATTGTGTGCACACATCAAGGCGCGACTGTATTGAATCGTTACGCGCAGAGATGTGTATTTTTATTATTGTGTATTTTTTGTATTTTATGTTTTATATTCAAGTCATCGATGAGAGCACAACTAAAATATAAATTATCAATAAAACTCTTTGTGAGTTAGTTATGATTAGTGCACTGACGGGTTAGAGCTCTACCTGAAATCAAACTCCCAAATTAAATTATTTTATTGGTAAGTAATGAAATATTTTAATTAATTTTAAAAATATATACAACAATTTAAAACTATTTTATTGATAGATATTAAATGTCGGCCAAAGATATTAATATTACAGAACGGTGTGAATATTGGGATAACGGGTGCCCTCAAGTGGTCACACAAAATGACCTTAAAGAGCACACAGACAACTGTCGCTATAAACCGGTACAATGTTCAGTATGCAATTGTGTGCACACATCGGGGCGCGACTGTATTGAATCGTTACGCGCAGAGATCGAGGCATTAAAAACAATTAATAAAGAATTAAAAAGTGGTCAATTAAATAATACCCATATTAATGTTAATAATGACGGTAATGTTGATCAATCAGTATTACCAAGTAAAGAGTTGTCTGCACATCAGATACTGGCCGAGTGTAGGCAACACATGTCGGCACCGGCGGTGTTGGACAACCAATTGATCGCCGATATGACAGACAAAATACTGTCAATATTTCGGGAAATGTTGACAAAACATAACACACTATACGATGTGTGTAAACATGTGGTCGATTACATGGATCTCGAGTACGGCAGTAGTTGGCACTGTTTGGTTGATTATGACGAATACAATGGATGTTTAATGATTGACAACAATTATCTGGTGAAAGTAAAATTCACCCCGGTCACGTTTACATTATTTCACACAATGCGGGTACAGTAGTAAACAGTATACGATTTGTTTTGCAATATTTACTTATATTTACGTATATAAATAATTAATTTTTAAAATATAAGCTAATAATTACAAGAAAATAATTATTTATTAATGCGATATAATTTTAATGTATATTTTATAACAGTTTAATTGGTCAAATCTAAAGGCCCGACTCGAGCATAATAAAATTGCCCGCAAATTAGACATATATTATACGGCTATGAATAAGTCGATGGTATTGTTTGTGTCGGACATTGTGTTTGAGGCCATCGACAGTAACGACAATATAAGCGCTACAATACATAACATCGTAACCCAAATTAGGGCCAGATATCCGGTCAGAGAGTGGCAGTGCTTTGTCTACTATAGAGGTTTTGGTAATTGATATGTACAATACGTTAACAACAATTTTATCCATTGTCACGTCGACCAGATTACCATCATTATATTTGAAACTAGATTGTATTAACATTTAATTGTTATGTGGATTAATTTTGATAATCACTTCCTCCCCATATTCCTGTCCACGCTCTATGAACAACTCATAATGAGTCTTATAAGCAAATTGATTAGTAAATAACTTTTACATGTTTCCCATCGTCTCACTTAATTGATTATTACAAATATTTTCTAAAACACAATATTAATTATATGAGTAAATTATAATAACGTTTTAATTAGTAATGTATTAATATAACACTAATCAATAAATGATTAATTATTAATAATGGCCAATACATATCTAAATCACTTTATAATCTTACAAATAAATAAAACATTTAATTATTTGTGTAAATACAAGTGTATGATTATTGCACCAACAGGTAGAGATGTTAGTGGTGAAATTTAGGGAATCTTTAGGGCTAAATTTAGCCTAAAATTTAGGGAATATTTAGGGTCTGTCTGAATCTTTAGGCTAAACTTTCAGCCACCCTACAATAGCGACATCTATGTTGCACATATTTACTAAATAAATGACTAATTTTTGTAATTTATACTAAATTAACGATTATTAACAAAAAAATAATATATTTAAATAATAATAAGAGCGTTTTATTTGCCGTAAATTTATCATTATTTTGTAATAGCGAATTTTAGAATATATTT